TCTAAGAAGAAAGGTACTGGCATTGAAAGGCATAATTTTATTGAAAAGATGAAGTTTGCTAAAATCCATACCAAAAATGTGTTAGGACATAACCAGACAGAGAACAATTTCTTGGAAATCATGGCCAAGTCATTAGATATACAAAAAAATGTGAAAGAGTGAATTCCTTGCAGCTGTTTTCATCTGGGACCTGAAAATGGAGGTTGAGGAAAAGATGAGGACAATGAAAAATATAGAAAATTAGTTTGCGGACAGTATTCCCTGCTGCACATGGCAGACTGTGTTGGAGTAGGCAGGTCTTGGCAGTGATGTTCCTGAGGCAGATTGAGCAAACTTCTTCTTTCTTTCTCATATGTTGAAATGAGACCTTTTAGATTCAGGCATAGATTAAATTGGGAAGGACTAGGGAAGTGAACACCTGAGGCAGAGGCCGTGTAGTTTTACTGCGGAAGCTGACATAAAGTGAATAAGTTATCAACCAGCAGAACCCTTTGCTGGCACTTGCAGTGGATGAATTAGAAATGGTTATTCACTGTGACACCAAGTTCTGGATGAATAGCTCTTCAGAAGAAACGCTTTTGAGACCACTGTAATAAATAGGGACACAACCCATTTGAAGATGTTCTACTGAGTAGGAAGTTTTTACTGTATATGCATGAGCTGTTCTTGTTCAAAAAATGCCTTTTTTGAATTTTATTATTTTTTCAAAATGGCAGAATTGAGTTAGAATCCTATCTGAGCCATGCGAGGATGGCCATGGGATCTTCCCAGAAAGGGTCAGTATTTTTTAAGCTTTCTGTCTAATAGAAAATCAGAAAAAGTTTGCTGGAGACCCTGCAGAAGAAAAGAAGAAGAAGGAAAAAATCAGTTATCCATCATCAATGATTTAATTAATGTATGAAAGAATTTACAAGGAATCTTTCTTTCACATTTCCTTTCCTAAGAAGAAACAAATGCAGGGGCAGCTCCTTCGCAAGCAAACAGGAGACAAACTGGTCGAGTTAGTTACTGGTGGGGGAACTACCCCTGCGCTTCAGAGTGTGTGTGTGTGCGCGCGTGCCTGTGGCTGTGTCTGCGCATGTGTATGCGTGTGCACACGTGTCAGTGTGTCTCTGTGTGTGTCTGTGTGTAAATGTGTGTGTGCACGTGTGTGTGTATGTCTCAGTGTGTGTCTCTGTGTGTGTGTGCACATGTGTCTGTGTGTGTGCACATGTGTCTGTGTGTGTGCACATGTGTATGTGTGTGTCTGTGTGTGTCCATGCGTGTGTGTGTGCATCTGTGCGTGTGCGTCTGTCAGTGTGTCAGTGTGTGTGTGTGTGTCAGTGTATGTGTCAGTGTGTGTGTTTGTGTGTGTCAGTGTGTGTGTATCTCTGTGTGTCAGTGTGTCTCTGTCTCTGTGTGTGTCTGTGTGTGCATGTCTGTGTGTGTCCGTGTGTGTGTCTGTCAGCGTGTGTGTGTCTGTGTCCGTGTGTCTCTATGTCTGTGTGTGTCTCTGTGTCTGTGTGTGTCTGTGTGTCAGTGTGTATCTCTGTGTCAGTGTGTCTCTGTCTGTGTGTGTCTCTGTGTGTGTCAGTGTGTGTGTGTCAGCGTGTGTGTGTGTCTGTGTGTGTGTCTGTGTCCGTGTCTCTATGTGTGTGTGTCTTTGTGTCAGCGTGTGTCTCTGTGTGTGTCTCTGTGTCTGTGTGTGTCTCTGTGTCTGTGTGTGCATGTCTGTGTGTGTCAGTGTGTGTGTGTGTCTGCGTGTGTGTGTGTCTCTGTGTGTCTGTGTGTGTGTCTGTGTCAGCATGTGTGTCTGTCTGTGTGTGTGCCAGTGTGTGTGTGTCAGCGTGTGTGTCTCTGTGTGTCTCTGTGTGCCAGTGTGCGTGTGCCTGTGTGTCTCTGTCAGCGCGTGTCTCTGTGCGTCTGTGTGTGTGTCAGTGTGTGTGTGTGTGTCAGTGTCCGCGTGTGTCTCTGTGTCAGTGTGTGTGTGGGGGGGTGTCAGTGTGTGTGTGCACGCACGCATGTGTCTGTGTCTGTGCGTGTCTGTGTGTGCGCGCGTCTCCGTGTGTCTCCGTGTGTCAGCGTGTGTGTGTGCGCGCGTCTCCGTGTGTCTCCGCGTGTCAGCGTGTGTCTCTGTGTGCGCGCGCGCAGGCGGCGCGGGGCGGCAGCGCCCCCTGGCGGCCG